TGATAAATTTTATTTTAGTTTATGATTTTAAAATGTTATGAACGTACGAAAGACGAAATCGAAAAAATGAAGTAAGGTTAACTTATCCAGTTCCTTGTGACACTGGGAAAAAATAGTAACATGTACACTATGGAATTTACGATTGCATCACTATTTCCATACTATTTCTATACTATAATATCCATAATATGGAAATTCCATCTAGTATGAAAATTGGACATATGCATACTATTTTCAACTAAGATCCATATACTAGAAAAAATAGAGTATAGGAATATTTGTAAGGATTTTGAAAAAAATTCCAGTGCATGTAAACGGCGCATAAAATGGTGTACTACACTACTTACGAATTAATATTATTAGACAATTTGGTACATAAGGCGATGTAAACGACCAAAGACTTACCTTTCAGTTGAAAGGAAACTACAATCCATAACATAAAATAAAAATGCTTTGGAAACATCTTCCCCAATCAAGCAAACCAACATAAAACGTTTTGAGACAAGACTAAGCATGTACGCTATATATGAAAGCGAGAGACAAATGAGTCAATGTAGCGAAGCAATATCGGATAAAGGCCTGCTCACATGAGTAAGGCTGGCTCGCTTTGCGGCGACAGCCCGGCATGCGCTGCATGCACGTTTTTTTGCGGGAACGCTATACCTGTTTTCATTTCGGAAAATTCTATTTATATTGACAAAATTAAACTGCTTCATTTGAATTTTAAGTTGCATGTTTTCTGGATGTGACACAATTTTCTGCCAGGTTAAAGGCCCACTATATAAGTGCGTTCATACGAATCCGGCAAGCCGAGATCTTGCCTCGTTCAAGCGGAAGCCCGGAAAACCAGGCTGGCCTGGTTCCCATGACCATGTGAATCAAATCTATAAGAACAATGCTCGAATTTGAATTTGAATGAATTCAAATATCAAAGCATCTATTGTGATGTGATGGCAACAGTCATCGCAGAGAAAGTTATCATATAAGTCACACATTACATGCAATAATTTGTCAGCCGGTTGTATAAAGAGTGATTAAAGTTAGCTATAGTTAGTGAAAACGTCATCCAATACGAAGCGCCTATTTGAGAGTTCATCACTATTTAACTACATAATAGTGATTAAAAAAGTGATTAAGAGTTCTATACAACCGGCTCCTAGTCTTTAAAATTCTAGCTAGGATATTGCGTATTACGAATGCATTTACTTTGCAATGCACATACCGTATTTACTCGTTTCTTTAAATTTTCAAAGCTTTCAAAAACAAATAAATAAATTTTCGAGGTTGATTTAAGATATGTGGTTGTTTTATATTAGCGTCTTCAACGATTCTGACGGTGCTTCGATTAAGCGCCCCATTTGAAAATAAATAGTGCGGCGCTCATTCGGGGGCGGCGCTCAGACGAGTAACTACGGTAAGCCAATTGGGAAAGGGAAACAATTTTCTCACACGTGTGGGAAGACGTTACGTCGAATGATACATGTGACCGATGACATACGAGGAAATTCACTCACGGCAGAAATTTTCTGCCTTTTGGTTTGACTTTGTTCATTTGACCACAGGACATTATGCTAATCATTTAACACGATGGATGTCTTACTATAGTGCACAACAGGTGAATATACCACATTTTATTGTGCACAGAACTGAACTGAACTGGGCGTGAACACAGCAATCAGATATATATCGGTTGTACGAAAGTGATTTTTCAACAGTTGTAGAATGCTTGAAATGTGATTTAACTACGAGTATGGATCCCACAATTAATGAAAGAAAACTTTAATTTTTACATGCTATAAATTTTAATCTGGGTTATAACAGAAAACGGCTAATTTCGGCCTACCAGTTGCTTTTCTTGTCAAGAATAACTATTCGTACACTCTACGAAACGATCTAATTCCAAAAGATCTTGAAGCAATCTGTATTGAATTAACGCTACGTATGAGTCGGCCAATTTTGATTTTGACTTGGTATCGACCTCCTGATTCGAATGCAAAAGTATTCGATTTGTTTGAAGAATTTCTGCAAAAGGCTGAGGCAGAACATAAGGAATTGATTATTCTAGGCGATTTGAATTGCGATTTGTATACAAATACGGCAAGTTCAAGTACAAAAAAATTAATTGAATTATTGGATGTTTATCAGTTAAAACAACTCATTAAGAAACCTACACGTGTAACAGCTAAAACAAGAACATTAGCCTGCGAACAGGCTCTCAAGCTGAATTGGGAGCCTGCATCGATGACTAATGAATTTGAATATCTGCCCCGTAACGTTCGTTTTTCCAAATATGGAATGTCTATCCTTATATGGTGTTGTTTACAACTTTCGTGCAAACTAAATTTAGACCGTGCAAACTAAATTTAGACCGTACAGTTTATACTGTTTTTCGAAATATAAGATATTCAAGCAAAAGTTCAAATGTTTTAAATACTGTTTTCTCAAAACAGAACATTTCGTGCTTTGAGATAAGATGGCCAAGACCAGTTTGATCAGTTAATGTGTTTTTTACTGCATAGAGCTTCAGCAGTTGACATATATAGAGCTCAGCGGAAACATATAAATTATAGCATCTGACCAATGAGAATTTCGCGTCACGATTTGAGACGCAGATATTCAAATTCATTAGTCATCGATGCAGGCTCTCAATTCAGCTTGAGAGCCTGTTCGCAGGCTACAAGAACATTGATAGATGTTATTATAACTCAATTGGGAAATACGAATGTTACTGCTTCTGGAGTCATACACCTTGGAATTAGCGACCATAGTCTGGTGTATACTTGTCGCAAAATTAGTACCCAAAGGGAAAAACCAAAAATTGTTGAAACTAGGCAATTTAAACATTTTAACAGTCAAGCATTTGAAAATGACTTAAATCAAGCTTTTGCTGCTAATGATGT